ATCCCAATTTATGTCCAGGTAATTCAAATCACCTATAATTAATGTGTGACCCATATTTGCAGCTTTCCCAATTTACTAAAACAGCTGTTCTTCCTCATCAATATTAACATTAGGAGGTTTGTAACATACCCATACAAATAATTGATTTTCCTTCTTTTGCCCCATGCAGATATCTACCCATGAAGCTTCCACATTTTTCTTGTCCCACTCCACATGCTTAAGATTTGACTTTAACTCATGGTTGACATACAAACATACCCCACCACCCTTCTTGATTTTTCTATTCTTCCTAAATAATGTGTTACCATTTTCATTAATTGCCTACTCATAAGTCTCATATCACCATGTTTCCGTTATGCCTATTATGTCATATTGCTTAGTGTACACTATTGCCCATAGTTCCCCCATTTTGTAACATAGGCTCCTTGCCAGAGGCGTAACTAAAAATCACTGGGCCCCGATGCAAAAATTGCCCTGGGCCCCCCAATGTGTCTCATTTCTCTTTAGCCCCTACATGCGTCTCATTCCTCCCTAGCCCCTACATGCGTCTCATTCCTCCTTAGCCCCTCCATGCATCTCATTCCCCCCAGCACCTCTTTGTGTGTCATTCCCAAGCCCCTGTCCTTTCATGTGTGTAATTCCCAACCCCCCAACCTTTCCATGTGTGTCATTCCTAACCCCATCAGCCTTTTCATGTGTGTCATTCCCAACCCCCAGCCTTTCCATGTGTGTCATTTCCAACCCCCAACCACTCCATGTGTGTCATTCCCAACCCCCCAGCCTTTCCATGTGTGTCATTCCCAACCCCCAACCACTCCATGTGTGTCATTCCCAACCCCCCAGACTTTCCATGTGTGCAATTCCCAAACCCTCAGTCCCTCCATGTGTGTCACCGCCAAGAGCCCCTCCATGTGTGTTAGCCCCAAAACCCCTCCAGTCCTTCCATGTTTATCCCCCCCAGCCCCTTCATGTGTGTCACCCTCAAACCACCCCAGCCCCTCCATTAGGGTTTCCACCTGGCCAGTATTTTACTGGCACAGATGGCATTTCAGGCCACCTGGCCGGTGCCGGTATTGCAAACATACCGGTAATACAAATACCGGTGTTTTTCTCTGTGATTTTAAAATACACTGTAATACCAGCACTGGCCAGTAGGTGGTGCTATGTGGAGAGAGGCCGGGATAGGAAATTACACATCTCTGGCTCTACTCACTGAATCCGTGGGGGAGCAGCTCAGAGAGTCCAGCCAGCAGGTACCAACAGACAGAGATACCCTACAGATAACTAGGTGTGGATGAGGGGGGTACACAAGTGGGACGACATGCTCCTCTCAGAACCAGTCCAGTAACATATAAACTTTACAGTCCTTATGATCTAGGCCTTGGACTGGATTTTTCATGGAAACTAGCTGGGACTCATCCGTTGCAGCATTATAGAAAATAATTTCTCTTTTCTCTGTTAAGTGAACTATCATTATCTTTTAGGGAATGATGAGAGGAGAAACACGTTTCTAATATGACACACTCAAAGACAAATGTCCTGATATTAAACCTGCAGTTTTATGAAAGGTCTGAAACCTGCTGTTTTGCTCCTATACTGCAGCTGTGAGCCATGAGAAGCCTGCAGTGTGCCCAATTTTCTAAATACTTTCATTAGTCCCTGGCCTTATCTTATAGTTAGGATAGCCTTATACCTATCCCCCGCATGCTTAAACTCCTTTACTGTGTTAATCTCTACCACTTCAGCTGGAAGGATATTCCATGCATCTCTCAGTAAAGTAATACTTCTTAATATTATTTTTAAACCTTTGCCCCTCTAATTTAAGTCTATGTCCTCTTGTTGTGGTAGTTTGTCTTATTTTAAATATAGTCTCCTCCTTTACTGTGTTTATTCCCTTTATATATTTAAATGTTTCTATCAGATCCCCCCTGTCTCGTCTTTCCTCCAAGCTATACATATTAAGATCCTTTAACCTTTCCTGGTAAGTTTTATCCTGCAATCCATGAACCAGTTTAGTAGCCCTTCTCTGAACTCTCTCTACAGTATCAAAATCCTTCTAGAAATACAGTCTCTAGTACTGCGTACAATACCCCAAGTGAGGTCTCACCAGAGTTCTGTACAATGGCATGAGCACTTCCCTCTTTCTACTGCTAATACCTCTCCTTATACAACCAAGCATTCCTGCTGCTCTATTACAATGTCTGCCTACCTTTAAGTCATCTGAAATAATTATCTCTAAATCCCTTTCCTCAGATGTTGAGGTTAGGACTCTATCATATATTCTGTACTCTGCCCCGGGGTATATTCCATCAGGTCCCATTGACTTGTCTTTTCCTCTGTAAACTCACATGTAACAAATGACTCATTTGACCTTTTTCCTAACTGAGGCCCCTCCTTAATTTTCATCGGTAAATACTGAACAAAAATATTAATTGAGGCAGTCAGCTAGACCTTTATCCTCTTCTACATACCTTCCTTCTTTTGTTTTTAATCTAACTAATCCTTGTTTTACTTTCCTTTTCTCATTTATTTATCTAAAAATGTTTCTTCCCTTTTTTTACTGACTGTGCTACTCTCTCCTCTGTGTGTGATTTGGAAGTTCTTATAACTTGCTTAGCCTCTTTCTGTGTAATCTTATAGATCTGTCTGTTTTCCGCACTCTGGCTAAATGCTAGTTTTTTGTTTTTACTATTTTGGCCACATCTGCAGAGTACCACAGTGGTTTCTTAATTTTTTTTGCTTTTACTGACAAGCCTAATGCAATTTTCTGTTGCCTTCAGCAGTGCAACTTTTAAATAATCCCATTTCTCTTGGACTCCATTTAAATTGCTCCTTTTCTAAAGTCTAAAACCTTTGTTTTTGTGTGTTGTGACTCAGTCACTGTTCTTATATTAAACCACACTGACTGATGTTCACTGGATCCTAAACTTTCACTTACAGTAAAATCTGATATCAAATCTCCATTTGTTAACCCTAAATATAGTATGGCCTCTTTAAAATATTTGTGCTCCTGGCACAAGCAGCTATTTTGATTTTCCAGTTCACATCAGGAAGAGTAAAGTCACCTATGATGATAACTTCCCCCTTATTGTCATTTTATCTATTTCATCAACTAGTAGATTATCTAACTCTTATATTTGTCCTGTGGGCCTATACATCACACCTACACGAGTTACTGTATGATTACAAAATTCTATTGTAATCCAAATGTACTCTATGTTCGCCTCACTAACTTTTATTAGGCTAGGTTTTATGCTATCCTTCACATACAGGGCCACCCCTCTCCCTTTCTTGCCTCCCCAGTCTTTTCTATATAAAGAGTACCCTGGTATTGCTATGTCCCAGTCATTTTTCTCATTATACCATGTCTCAGTAACAGCGACAAAATCTACATTATCAGTTGTCATTATTGCCACAAGTTCATGGATCTTATTCCCTAAACTGTGACCATTTGTAGACATGACTCATCATTTTTTTACACACTTGCTACAGGCACCTTCTGTCCTTGTTTTGGGGGGCAATTGGATTGATGTTTTATCACCCTTTTGCCACCCTCCCCCACACGCCCCATCTAGTTTAAATGCATCCTAGAAAAACCTCAGAACTGCTAACTGAGAACATTTGTCCCCTTTTGAGAAAGATGCAAACCATCTTTTTGTACAGTTTATTTCCATTCCAAACAGAGCTACCATGAGTCTGTGTGTTTATGAATTCAGCAGTCTGTGTGTGTGTATTCAGCAGTGAGTGTGTGTATTCAGCAGTCTCTATTTATTCAGCAGTCTGAGTGTATGTATTCAGTAACATAGAAACATAGAAACATAGAATGTGACGGCAGATAAGAACCATTCGGCCCATCTAGTCTGCCCAATTTTCTAAATACTTTAATTAGTCCCTAGTCTTATCTTATAGTTAGAATAGCCTTATGCCTATCCCACACATGCTTAAACTCCTTTACTGTGTTAACCTCTACCACTTCAGCTGGAAGGCTATTCCATGCATCCACTACCCTCTCAGTAAAGTAATACTTCCTGATATTATTTTTAAACCTTTGTCCCTCTAATTTAAGACTATGTCCTCTTGTTGTGGTAGTTTTTCTTCTTTTAAATATAGTCTCCTCCTTTACTGTGTTGATTCCCTTTATATATTTAAATGTTTCTATCATATCCCCCCTGTCTCGTCTTTCCTCCAAGCTATACATGTTAAGATCCTTTAACCTTTCCTGGTAAGTTTTATCCCGCAATCCATGAACCAGTTTAGTAGCCCTTCTCTGAACCCTCTCTAAGGTATCAATATCCTTCTGAAGATACGGTCTCCAGTACTGTGTACAATACTCCAAGTGAGGTCTCACCAGTGTTCTGTACAATGGCATGAGCACTTCCCTCTTTCTACTGCTAATACCTCTCCCTATACAACCAAGCATTCTGCTAGCATTTCCTGCTGCTCTATTACATTGTCTGCCTACCTTTAAGTCATCAGAAATAATCACCCCTAAATCCCTTTCCTCATATGTTGAGGTTAGGACTCTATCAAATATTCTGTACTCTGCCCTTGGGTTTTTACGTCCAAGATGCATTATCTTGCACTTATCCACATTAAATGTCAGTTGCCACAATTTTGACCATTTTTCTAGTTTACCTAAATCATTTGTCATTTGGCTTATCCTCCTGGAACATCAACCCTGTTACATATCTTAGTATCATCAGCAAAAAGACATACCTTACCATCAAGACCTTCTGCAATATCACTAATAAAAATATTAAAGAGAATGGGTCCAAGTACAGATCCCTGAGGTACCCCACTGGTGACAAGTCCAAGCTTCGAATATATTCCATTAACTACAACCCTCTGTTGCCTGTCACTCAGCCACTGCCTTACCCATTCAACAATATTTAATCCAAACTTAAAGATTGCAGTTTATTGATAAGCCTTCTATGTGCAACAGTGTCAAAAGCCTTACTGAAATCTAGGTAAGCAATGTCTACTGCACCACCTGATCTATAATTTTAGTTACCCAATCAAAAAAATCAATAAGATTAGTTTGGCATGATCTCCCTGAAGTAAACCCATGTTGTCTCTGATCTTGAAATCCATGTGTTTTTAGATGTTCATCAATCCTATCCTTTAACATGGTTTCCATCACTTTCCCCACTACTGAAGTAAGGCTTACTGGCCTATAGTTGCCCACTCCTCCCTATTACCTTTCTTGTAAATGGGCACAACATTCGCTAACTTCCAATCTTCTGGGACTACTCCTGTTAACAATGATTGGTTAAATAAATCTGTTAATGGTTTTGCTAGTACACCACTAAGCTCTTTTAATAGCTTTGGGTGTATTCCATCAGGTCCCATTGACTTATTTGTCTTTACTTTTGACATACACACACAGTAGTCTGTGTGTGTATATATTCAGCAGTATGTGTGTGTATGAATTCAGCAGTCTGTGTGTATGTATTCAGAGCAGTCTGTGTATGTATTCAACAGGCTAGATTTTATGCTATCCTTCACATACAGGGCAACCCCTCCCCTTTTCTTGCCTTCCCTGTCTTTTCTATATAAAGAGTACCCTGGTATTGCTATGTCCCAGTCATTTTTCTCATTATACCATGTCTCAGTAACAGCGACTAAATCTACATTATCAGTTGTCATTATTGCCACAAGTTCATGGATCTTATTCCCTAAACTGTGACCATTTGTAGACATGACTCATCATTTTTTTACACACTTGCTACAGGCACCTTCTGTCCTTGTTTTGGGGGGCAATTGGATTGATGTTTTATCACCCTTTTGCCACCCTCCCCCACACGCCCCATCTAGTTTAAATGCATCCTAGAAAAACCTCAGAACTGCTAACTGAGAACATTTGTCCCCTTTTGAGAAAGATGCAAACCATCTTTTTGTACAGTTTATTTCCATTCCAAACAGAGCTACCATGAGTCTGTGTGTTTATGAATTCAGCAGTCTGTGTGTGTGTATTCAGCAGTGAGTATGTGAATTCTGCACTGAGTGTATGTATTCAGCAGTCTGTGTGTGTGCATTCAGCAGTGAGTGTATGTATTCAGCAGTCTCTATTTATTCAGCAGTCTGAGTGTATGTATTCAGTAACATAGAAACATAGAAACATAGAATGTGACGGCAGATAAGAACCATTCGGCCCATCTAGTCTGCCCAATTTTCTAAATACTTTAATTAGTCCCTAGTCTTATCTTATAGTTAGATAGCCTTATGCCTATCCCACGCATGCTTAAACTCCTTTACTGTGTTAACCTCTACCACTTCAGCTGGAAGGCTATTCCATGCATCCACTACCCTCTCAGTAAAGTAATACTTCCTGATATTATTTTTAAACCTTTGTCCCTCTAATTTAAGACTATGTCCTCTTGTTGTGGTAGTTTTTCTTCTTTTAAATATAGTCTCCTCCTTTACTGTGTTGATTCCCTTTATATATTTAAATGTTTCTATCATATCCCCCCTGTCTCGTCTTTCCTCCAAGCTATACATGTTAAGATCCTTTAACCTTTCCTGGTAAGTTTTATCCCGCAATCCATGAACCAGTTTAGTAGCCCTTCTCTGAACCCTCTCTAAGGTATCAATATCCTTCTGAAGATACGGTCTCCAGTACTGTGTACAATACTCCAAGTGAGGTCTCACCAGTGTTCTGTACAATGGCATGTGCACTTCCCTTTTTCTACTGCTAATACCTCTCCCTATACAACCAAGCATTCTGCTAGCATTTCCTGCTGCTCTATTACATTGTCTGCCTACCTTTAAGTCATCAGAAATAATCACCCCTAAATCCCTTTCCTCATATGTTGAGGTTAGGACTCTATCAAATATTCTGTACTCTGCCCTTGGGTTTTTACGTCCAAGATGCATTATCTTGCACTTATCCACATTAAATGTCAGTTGCCACAATTCTGACCATTTTTCTAGTTTACCTAAATCATTTGTCATTTGGCTTATCCCTCCTGGAACATCAACCCTGTTACATATCTTAGTATCATCAGCAAAAAGACATACCTTACCATCAAGACCTTCTGCAATATCACTAATAAAAATATTAAAGAGAATGGGTCCAAGTACAGATCCCTGAGGTACCCCACTGGTGACAAGTCCAAGCTTCGAATATATTCCATTAACTACAACCCTCTGTTGCCTGTCACTCAGCCACTGCCTTACCCATTCAACAATATTGGAATCCAAACTTAAAGATTGCAGTTTATTGATAAGCCTTCTATGTGCAACAGTGTCAAAAGCCTTACTGAAATCTAGGTAAGCAATGTCTACTGCACCACCCTGATCTATAATTTTAGTTACCCAATCAAAAAAATCAATAAGATTAGTTTGGCATGATCTCCCTGAAGTAAACCCATGTTGTTTCTGATCTTGAAATCCATGTGTTTTTGAAATCCATAGATGTTCATCAATCCTATCCTTTAACATGGTTTCCATCACTTTCCCCACTACTGAAGTAAGGCTTACTGGCCTATAGTTGCCCGACTCCTCCCTATTACCTTTCTTGTAAATGGGTACAACATTCGCTAACTTCAATCTTCTGGGACTACTCCTGTTAACAATGATTGGTTAAATAAATCTGTTAATGGTTTTGCTAGTACACCACTAAGCTCTTTTAATAGCTTTGGGTGTATTCCATCAGGTCCCATTGACTTATTTGTCTTTACTTTTGACATACACACACAGTAGTCTGTGTGTGTATGTATTCAGCAGTATGTGTGTGTATGAATTCAGCAGTCTGTGTGTATGTATTCAGAGCAGTCTGTGTATGTATTCAACAGGCTAGATTTTATGCTATCCTTCACATACAGGGCAACCCCGCCCCTTTTCTTGCCTTCCCTGTCTTTTCTATATAAAAAGTACCCTGGTATTGCTATGTCCCAGTAATTTTTCTCATTATACCATGTCTCAGTAACAGCGACAAAATCTACATTATCAGTTGTCATTATTGCCACAAGTTCATGGATCTTATTCCCTAAACTGCAAGCATTTGTAGACATGACTCTAAGCTTATCATTTTTTTAAACACACTTGCTACAGGCACCTTCTGTCCTTGTTTTGGGGGGCAATTGGATTGAAGTTTTATCACCCTTTTGCCCTCCCCCCCCCCATATAGTTTAAATACATCCTAGCAAAACCTCAGAACTGCTCACTGAGAATATTTGTTCCATTTTGAGAAAGATGCAAACCATCTTTTTTGTACAGTTTAATTCCATTCCAAACAGAGCTACCATGAGTCTGTGTGTTTATGAATTCAGCAGTCTGTGTGTGTGTATTCAGCAGTGAGTGTGTGAATTCTGCACTGAGTGTATGTATTCAGCAGTCTGTGTGTTTGTATTCAGCAGTCTGAGTGTATTTATTCAGCAGTCTGTGTGTATGTATTCAGTAGTCCGTGTGTATGTATTCAACAGTCTTTGTGTGTATGTATTAAATAGTCTTTGTGTGTATGAATTCAGCAGTCTGTGTGTATGAATTCAGAAGTCTGTCTGTGCATGAATTAAGCAGTCTATCTGTGTGTAAATTCAACAGTGAGAGTATGTATTCACCAGTGTTCGTGTGCATGTACTCATCACTCTGTATGTATTATTAAAGTAAAAATTGTAAAGCTCTTCCCTATCCCACTCTCTACCCCCCCCCTGAACACAGTACACCCGAACAGACAGTGAACATCCCACATACAGTACACTCCCACCAACACACCTTTGCATACACACACAGTGCACCCCTCACACACATCATCTCTTTACCCACATACACACTTCTTTTCCACATACCTTCACCCCCACACACATACATACATACTTCACCCCATTACACCCTGAATCTCGTAGGCGCAGCTGTGGAAATTCAGGCAGTGCTATTGTTGGGGTTACACCAGGGCCCATCGAGTGGCCTGTGCAATTAGGGCCATCTGGTGGGCATGTGTGTTTAGGGGACCAAAACAGTTTTTGCACCAGGGCCCACTCTACGTTAGTTCTGCCACTGTGCCAGAGCTTCCCGGCACACATAGAAGATCACCTCCCCGTACACAAGCTCTGGCCCCAATTTCAATTTCTAAATGAGACACACACTGACAAACATACTCACAGCCTGACAGACATACAGTGACATGCACACACTCTCGGACTGAGACACACACTGACTGAGACACACACACACATTTTCTCACACACTCACAAATTGCTACTTTTATTTTAATTTTAATTTACCCAGCCTCCCTACCTTTGGGAGAGCTAGATGGATCTTTCCCTGGTGTCTCCTCTCAACCTTCCTGCAGTTTCTCTCAGCTCCCCTGCGCGCTCTCTCTAGTGATGCCAGGGCCGGAGTGATGTCATGTCACTAAACAGCGTGCAAGGGAGTAGAGCTTTCCTGTGTGGCTTAGCAAAGGGCTGACAAATGCCAGGCGCCAGGGCGAAATGTCTAGTCGCCATGGCGACCTGGCACCTGGGATTTATCGAGCCATGTGTATGTATGTGTATGTATGTGTATGTGTGTGTATATATATATATATATATATATATATATATATATATATCCTGGTATTCATTTTAATCAGTTAGTCACTTGATCACTCAACTATGTGCATTTTCCACAGTTAATTCACAACTAACTTACAATACTGTACTTATCATGTTAGTTACACACTGTTACAGCATCTTATCTCTATGGAGACCTGTGTGTTACATTACCACGCACTTGGGCAGTCCTGCGTCCCGCATGAGCACTTCCGGGTTCGGGTACACGGAGGATCACAGCACGGATTGGTAAGTCACTTATTTTCTCTCCTTTGTATTGTATTCACATACACTGTATATTTGATCTTGAGAAAGACCTTATTAGGGTCGAAACATCGATCGGAACGGTTGTCACTTTGTTATGAAGACACTGAAGTAAAAATGTACCATTTGAAAATCCCTCTGAGTGCACCTTCATTCTTTCAACTATCTACAGTACGTGGTTTGCACCAGGGTACCTATTGCCTCAATTCCACTTAGAGGTGAGTGCCAAGCCTTTTATATATATATATATATATATATATATATATATATACACACAAATATATACACGTTTTATAACTGCCACCCTACTTTTGTCCCTGGCCCCTTATGTGCCCCCCCAAATAGAAATCCTGGAGATGCCTCTGGTAATAGTGTCACAGAAGCCCCCGTACCGCAGCCTCCTTAAAGGCTGGGTGTTTATAGCAATTACACCCCAGCCCATATAACAGCACAGTTTCAAGTGAACAGTGCCATGTTGTGGTTTCTCCTTGCTTTTGTACTCATTTGAATAACTGTTACTGACCTGGCTTTCCACTTGACCATTCTGCATTTTGGTATCCCTAAGCGTGCTCTGACATACCGTCTATCTGAATTCTGGTTTCCCTTTACTCTGGCTAGTCCTAACTTTTCTATATGTCTGTCTGTACATTGTGAAGCCCAGCCACAATTAATTACTGAGGTTATACTTTGCATACTTGGGTACTGCACTTGTCCTTGAGATAATATTTCTGAAAATACTAACTTGCAGGTTCTTTTCTTTAGTTATCCTCCTACCCTTGCACTGACTGATACGTCAGAGTGCAGGCTGAGAATTCTCTGACTCCCTGAGTGCTTGAATCAAAAGCAAGCGATTAAACTGGTTTGCAAGGGGATATGCATTTGCTTCCATTGGTGAACCTGCTGGAACTGTACAGGGATCCAGTTTTGTGTTGAGAACTGTTGACATATCCATCTCTGTTCCTATAAATAACAATAATAATCAGTAATTAAACGTTATCCTTCTAACTGCTATAGTTTAAAATTCCCATCATGCATACATACATTTTGCATTACCTTTAATTGGTACCAATTTGCATTATGACAGAATTTGCTTTCCCCTCTTAATAGTACATAACATTGAAAATAAATGTGCTGATCATTGATAATAGCACAGCTTTTTCATATTGGCTGAGATATTACCATAGTAGAGACGCACTGGATACCGCACTCACCAAACCTTTTTTTTATCAATACCCAGTAGGGGGGGGGGAGTTAAGTGGGGGGGCTTATGCTGTCTCCCAGCATTATGTTGCTACAGCAGTTTTCTAAAATCATTGTAAGTATAAATGCACAACAACCTTCTTGGATATGACATGGTCTGCACATATTGCTCCACATGCCTGTGCAAGTATTGCATGATATGTACACCACATGCACGTACTCATTGACAGGCTCCCACATAGATTTCTGTGTGAGGCGGAATCTAGTTCCTTTCATGAAAAGCCAAAAATAGAGCTATGCACTAAGTTTATACATGCTACAATGCATTTCTATCATCTTACTCTCCAGATTCATTGTCTTTTCATGAGAGAAAATGCAAACAATTGCTGAACTACATACTATAGAGGGGTTGTTGGTAGGGATTGAAGAGGATTCAATCCCTTCTGTACATGAGGAGAGGTCATTAGAGAAGGTAAAAATCACAATAATCAGTGGTTATTGTTTAAAGCAACACTGTGTCCCCCTCCCCCACACGCAAAATGAGCATTTAATAAAGATAAAACCTTTTATGAAATACGCATATTGACTCTTGGCATTTCACTGAAATTCTAACCTAGTGAAAACATATACTGAGACCAAGTAGGGACTGCCTTTTCTACCTGACACTTCTAGAGTTTGGGCAGCGTTGCCTAGAAGTGTCAACCCCTCAGCCGTCACCAGTGACTGGTGCAGGGAATTGGCTCTGTCATTGCAAGATCCCACAGTCTCGCAGAACCCTCCATAGACCTCAATGCTGTACTCTCACGCATACTCTCGAACATGCGATTGACTGGTTCAAGTAAGTTAAACTCACCTTTGCCTGCCCCTACCAGACCTCCAGCAGCTACGTCATCATCGGGGGTCTATGCAAATTATGCAAAATCCCCAAATGGTGATAGTGCCGCTTTAATATATTAATCTGCTTTTTTCCTGTTTTAATATATAAATTTTGTCAAAATACATTTTTAATGAACATACAAAAAACAACAGAGATGTTTAGATCACATAGACAAGGACACAAGCAGAACCTCTTTTAGGTTTGTGATATACTAACTCTCCCTATGTTAATGTGTTACATTATGGTAAGGTTATTAGTTTTCTCTCTGTAATGAGTTATACAAAGTGGGTCAACTTCACTCTGAAATGTGTGCGTGATCGACATGTCAAAACACAAATGATAGCATTACAAAGGTAGATACTCTGAATGCATTGTCTGCTGTACCTGTTCAAACATCAGTGCTGCAAGTTTGATTTCCAGAAAATTAAATTCTGACTTTAATCATCTGATTTACTGAAATTATGTGGGAGTTATTCAAAAAGAACATCTATATGCCATATGGTATTTAAAACGAGCTATGTGTATCTATTATAGTTAAACACTTTGATTTTAGAATTATAATTTAAGGGAATTGTATTTGGGATTATGGTGGTAGTGGTATAATAATAGTATACTACACCCATTGATAAAATATATTATGGGGTCTGTTCATGAATTAGTGATTTTCCTTTTTAAAATTGTGCCAAAATAGCCAAGTAGTTAAATATGTCCAGCTGAAATTAATACTGTATATTTTTTTCTTTCAGCGCAGCTAATATGCCTACATTTTACATAGCAATGCAAATGAAAATGCAGCCCCTAATGCCCCACCTAATGTCATTTTACAGAATTACATTTTAACATGTAGAATAATTAATTTATGTTCCAAGACTCTATTCTGTCTCATCTCTGTAGAAAGACTGAACTAACTGCTTTGTTTCCCACTTGCCACACAATGGTCTAGTTTTAGAGGAGAATATGTATTGTTGGTTTCCAAAAATCATGGCTATGGGGGGATGAAGACTTTGCAAACATCCAGTACTCAACCTGTTACAGCAGCTTGCAAAGCCCTGTATATTTAAAGAAAAATATACAAATGTGTCTGACATACGTTTTAAGTTAATATTTTTAAATCAAAAAGTGCTTACTACTAAAAAGGATATGTACCAAAGTGTACTATGTCATTAGTTCTTAATGGTCCCTCAAAGCACCATAACAACTTTGGATTACTGTACAGGTGATGGCGAACCCATTCTGAGGGTGGCTTAGCACAGCACTGGTATACAGGAATTTCTGTAGGTCTAGGGCAGTCTCTGAGAGATGTGAGTGTAGTAGCCCATAATGATAATTATGTAGGCAAACTTCAACACTCCAGATGTTGTGGAATACATCCCCCATTAGGCACCTACAGCGATATTGCTGGTAAAGCATCAGGGGAGCTGTAGTCCACATTATCTGGAGTGCCAAATGATGCCTATCCCTGACCTATATAATTATTATTTATAAAGCACTAACAAATTCCACAGTGCGTATCAATGTTACCACTGTTTTGGTTGCGCATGTTCACAACATGGGCCGTGCATACCAAGCCACAAGCCATACACGAACAGACTGTGGATTTACTGAGAGTGCCACGTGCCCTGGTTCACTAAATTGAGAACTGGGCTATGTGTAAACCCATAGAACACGCAGTATGGATGCTTTCAGTTTACAGAGTGGTTCTACCCATCCAATGTCATGGCTGAGACCACTTAGCCCAGGGCTGTCCAACCTGCGGCCCCCCCACATGTTGCTGAACTACAACTCCCATGATTCTTTCAATGAAACAGATAGCCAGGGAATCATGGGAGGTGTATTTCAGCAACATCTGGGGGACCGCAGTTTGGACAGCCCTGACTTAGCCCATAAACCTCTGCCATGTTGAAATTTGTTTAGTATATATTACAATACATATTTTTCAGTTGTAAATCATGTTAAATCCCCTATTTTAAAAATATATTGTGAGGAATGCTAAACTAAATCCTGTAAACACCTATATTAGTTGTTCCCTGTGTCATAATATTTCCCATCACTCTGTGGTAAACATTGCAGGTACAGTACACACATTATTGTAGGAGGCTGTTTGATGCCTGATGAATACAGTGAGATTTTGATTGGACCCATTGATGAACCAATACATTAGTATGGGGCCCCAAGGGTTTAGGAACCATTGCTTTATGTCACCATAATGTTCAAAGATGCTTCTGAATTAACAAGACTTTCTGTACATTTATCGGGTCTGCAATCACCAGATTGTCAGAGTGACATGAAACGGTTCTTAAGTGCATCTATCTTTTTCTAACAGATTTATTTTTTGTAGTTAACATTTTTATTGCTGTAAATATACTAGTGTATATATATATATTGCGTCAGACCTGAGGAAGAGAGGAAAACTCTCGAAACCTTGTCTTTGAAATATTATGTTAGTCCAATAAAAAAGGTATCATTACATACCGCAATACTCTGGTATTTTGGCATCTTGTCAACTGGACTAATACGGCTAATCCAATCTACACCACTATATATATATATTTATATAGTCAAAGTCAGCACCTCAGACTGCATTTTAGATATGACAAGGGAACCAAGGGAACCATCTGGCACTATTTTAAAACACCTTCGCCAGCAATTAGAGAAATGCCAGCACTTTCCCTCATTTATTGATATTTGTGGTGTGAAATGCTCTTGTATTTGATATGTTTGTGCCGCACAGCAATGTATAGGCTGACTGCGCAGCAGAGAGGATATAAAGCGAGCCTATTTGCTCTGTTGTTTACAGCTGTTTCCTTTCATTTCAGTTTCTTTATTATGACTCATGAATGATGACAGTCTTGCTATGAAGACGTTTTAGCACTGTAGTCTCTGTCTCTTTGTTCCTCTCCATTGCCAGCACTAGGCCATCTTCTCTTTCTCAGTTCGAGCAATCCATCTGGCACTCGCAGGGTTAATTCCCTGCAGTTATATCGCCATATGTAAAAAGAGAACTTACAGTTCATATTAAAGACCAATCTGTGATCATCCGTTATCCTTTTATAATAGCTCATTCCCTGTCTCTTTGACCATTACTTGGAATCATTTACACGACTAATTAATTTCCTCTTCTCAGGCGCATACTAGTTGCTTTTTATAGTCAGTGATCTATAACCTATAAACTATGTGACAACATTATTAGCCTTTGACAGCCTAGTGCTGTTCTTTGCTGGAATAAGCCTCATATCTTTTTCGCAGCAAAGATTTTATCAGTTCCTGCAGGGCTGAATAGTGAAGGTTTTGTTAAAATTTTTATAAAAATATATTAGTTTTTTTACATAATTTCATGTATGTTTTACATGTACAGTATTCACCAAAACATTTTTTATTTGTCTCTGCTCCTACGAATCCATGTTTTGTTTAGAAATATGTTCTTTTGTTATTGTCTCTCCCTCTTTATCTATCCATCTATTATAAAAACCAATACGAGAACAAGCAGCTTGATGCAGCGAGTTGCTGTGTGCACAATATTAGTTGTAAGAAAATCTTGCGTTATGCATCTCTTTGATCATTTAAAGTTATAACCACTATTTCCTATGAGAGGAAGCGACAGCCATAATTTATCGCACCAGAAAATAGAATGAGAAAATAAAATGTTTGCTGCTCTATTCAAATAATGGCTAGGTTAGCTCGGTGAGTTACTAACTAGAGGTTACCTTTTGTATTTACGGTTTAGTTCTTGCAGCTTTTTTTTCCCTTTTCAGAGTTGCACGATGATTGTTTTCTCTCTCTAATTCTCAATCTCTCTCCATCTCATAATGTCTCTCTTGCTACATATGTACTACACATTTCTATGTTTGTTGTCTATATGTATAAAATACATAGCCATTGGCTGTTTCAGTTCAATGGTATAAATGTAACATAGTTTTCAGTATCTCATATACATTTCTTTGTATACATCTTGGAATCATGGAGTTTGGGATAAAATGCAGTTAATCTGACTATCTATCTATCTATCTATCCATTTATCTATCTATCTATCTATCTATCCATTATCTATCTATCTATCTATCTATCTATCTATCTATTTATCTATCTATCTATCTATCTATCTATCCATTTATCTATCTATCTATCTATCCATTATCTATCTATCTATCTATCCATTATCTATCTATCTATCTATCTATCTATCCATTATCTATCTATCTATCTATTTATCTATCTATCTATCTATCTATCTGTCTATCTCTATCTATCTATCTATCCATTATCTATCTATCTATCTATCTATCTATCTATCTATCTATCTATCTATCTATCCATTATCTATCTATCTATCTATCTATCTATCTATCCATTTATCTATCTATCTATCTATCTATCTATCTATCCATTATCTATCTATCTATCTATCTATCTATCTATCTATCTATCCATTATCTATCTATCTATCTATCTATCCATTATCTATCTATCTATCTATCTATCTATCATTTATCTATCTATCTATCTATCTATCTATCCATTATCTATCTATCTGTATCTATCTATCTATCTATCTATCTATCTATCCATTATCTATCTATCTATCTGTCTATTTATCTATCTATCTATCTATCTATCTATCTATCCATTATCTATCTATCTATCTATCCATTATCTATCTATCTATCTATCTATCCATTATCTATCTATCTATCTATCTATCTATCTATCTATCTATCTATCTATCTATCTATCTATCTATCTGTCTGTCTGTTATATTAATATTGAATTTTTTTTTTTTACTGCTCCTACTGTTTTCCTTCTATTTATTACTTTTTCTCACTTGATCTGTGAGCCAAATGGTGTGAAAATGCTCAGTGACCTGCAAAATATATACATAGTACTTATATTTTCCAGAACAGAGATTATGCCATTTTCACATCCGTTTTCGGTTTAGCTGAATCGCTTTTCCCTAAACGAATCGCTTGAATGAGATAGAGCCAAACTGAAATGCCACGTGGAAGAATCTCAAATCGCCAAAAACTATTTTTTTTAGGACGAATCGATTCGAACAAACCACGGTTTTCTTTGTGCACAAGTCTGTCTTTTGGTCTGTTGTCTGTCTGTCTATCCGACAATTTTGTTTCATTCTTTTAAATAAAAATAAAATGATTTGTATTATAAATGGTTTCAAACATACCCTGCAAATCTTTGATTCTAGAAAGCTTACATGAACGACACAGTTACAGTGCGACGTGGTCTAGAATAAAGACTTTTGTCGATCAAGTTCAACCTTTTAAACATCTGTAATACTGCTGCAGATTCTAAATGAAATGACACATTTAATTCATTTCTAAATATAGAAGGCTGGAATAGAAGAGCTGTTACGTGATTTACGTATGATTTCAGTGTCATTTTTGCACACACTGTATGGTCATGTATGCATATGTGTTATGACAATATGTAATATCAGGTTCTCTGAGAGAATACAATGACCGTAATTCCAGACGGTTCATTTCAGTCTACAAAAAATACAGTTTGCTTGAGGTTAATCAGCTCTCTGAGAATTCCATAGCTTTCAATCAGACCATCCCCCACATAGCTATGAATCTGAATACGCTGCTGTACAGAACTGATGACTTTTTTTCTATGCTTGACGTGTTGGTTGCAATGCAAACATTATTTATTAACTATAAATATTACTGTGCATTACATTACTGTGTATTTGGTTAAACCCAAAACAACATACTTAATCATTCTAATGGATTCTATAATTGTCAAGAAGTATAGATTTTACTCTGTGTGGGAATTTACCTGCAGTTAAGAAATAAGGTAACATAGTAAAATAAATAAATAAAATATTTAGCATATTTATTTTATTTACAATGGGTTTATACCCTAAACAGTGCATTTGTGGGTAATTAAGAATCTGTATTTTAAAATTCAGGTTGGGTCAGCATAGCGTAACTATAGACTAGGAGGGTTTTTTTCAACTCTGGTGTTTTGTGCTGTATTTTGAAATTCCTATTTTAAATTCCGGACAATTCACTATTTTTGACTTTTACTCCCAAAACACAATGCCGTTTATTCAGTAAAAAGCAAATTGTACAGAATCGAAAACCACACTGCTAAATTTAGATTAAAAGTGCTGATTTTGAATTTATTTTTTTAATTTGCAATTTAGTTCTCAACTCACTACAATTTGGTTGTTTCGTGAATAAGGCCCTATGAAACTTCTGTAGTATGTCCTGGAAAATATGATCAATAACATTTTACACATTTAAATGTAAATGTATAATTAAGTACAGTCATATTATGTATTCCATTTTCTATTGTTTGTATATATGCTTTTCTGGATTTCTGTTAAAGATTTCTGAGAATACAGAGTATAACAGAGTTGCCACAAATTACAGTGTTTTCAATATTCAGATGATTGTATAAAAACCAAACTCTTAAAAACCATACAGGAAGGAGCAAAAGAGCATTTTTCATGCTTACAAGTTCCAACATGTTTAATGTCACTGAAGCTTTTTCACATCTATGTTGGATTAGGACATGCAAATTACTGTTAAATATGTGTCACATCGTTTTGTTAGCTGTTTAGGGAGAGTCCCTTTAATCTGTCGCATGCACATTCTTGAGCAGCCCTGTGCTATTAAAAATAAAATATATTACCAGGCAATTCATGAGCCAATTAAATGTCAACTGAGAAGTGCTGATATGATTGGTTAATTTTATATTTTAAATATGATTTAATTAGGTTTAGTGAAAAACGTATAACCAGTAGATAATCAAGGAATATCTGTCTTTCATTTGTGTTTAATATATATGAATAACAACGGGTTATGTTCACCCAGTGATTTACAAACTAGAAAGTCATGGTTTATTTATGACACAGTAGTTTGCACTCAGTGATATATTCA